CCCCCACCCCCCAGGCTTGCCCTGCGCCCGCGCTCAGGGATCGCGGAGGCGCGAGGCAAGCCGCACAGGCGGCCCCCCCTTCCGGAGCCTGCGGAGCAGGGCCTCCCGCTTGCCGCTGTCGAACAGCAGGGGCTCCTCCCGGCGGGGCCGAAGGCCCGCACCCCACCGCCTCCAAGTGGGCCTCGGGGCCCCGGGCCCCGCCCGTGCCCTGGGAACCGCACCGCACGCCTGGCCTCGAGGGCGGCAGCGGCACCCAGGGAACCGCCCTTCAGTCGGATTTTGGGCGAACGACAAAAAAATATACTCCAAGAATGCCCCCAAAGAGTCCAAAAAAATCCAAAAATAGTCCCCTGACTACTTTTTGACTATTCTTGAACATGCCTCCTGTAGGGGGGCACGCCCGACTTGAAGGCAGAGACACGAGCCCCTCTCGGTTGCGGGGGGGTGGGTCGCAGCGTCCTCGGCGTAGTTGACGGGCTGGTGCGTGCAGCCCACCACGGTGATGGAGTCGTACAGGCCCGCGCCGGCAAAGCCTTCCAGGTCCTCCCCGTTCGAGTCCGAGCGAAAAATGTGGGAGCCGCCCTCTGGTGCAAAGACGCCGTCGGGCTTCGATGGCAGGAGGCCACATGCGAAGCCTACCCCACCACCCCACGATTCCGTAGGGGGGAGGTGGGATTCATTTCGCTCGGGAGGTCCCGAACGAAGTGAAGCCCACCTCCCCCCTGGGAAATCGTGGGGTGGTGGGCTAGGGTTCGCATGTGGCCTCCTGGATGGGTACGTGTGTACCACCACAGGGGTCCCAGACGGCCCGACAGAAGCCGAGAGCGCTCGCCCGGGGGAGTTGCTGACCAGAGACTCGCCGAGGCCCACGCACAGCTCAATCAGCTGCTCGTCGGCCTTGGCGCCGGGCAGGGGGGACCTGGTGTGGATCACGAAGGCGTAGGCGGAGGGGAACAGCGGCTGGCAAAGCACTGCCAGGAAGAGGGCGCTGTCGGGGATCTGCATCTGGCGCCGGCTCGACACGGCCCGCTCCGACCACTTCGAGGCCCACACGCCCTTCAGCGCGCGCCCCCACGCGTCGGCGCTGCTCGGGAGCGCGGGCGCGCCCGCCGCGCGGAGCTCGGCGGCGAGGCCCTGCTCGACCTCTGCGGGCACGGCCAGGTAGCTCACGATGCACTCGCGCGCGGCGGCCCAGTCCCCCTCCTCGCAGAGCTCCTGCAGCTCCTCGCGGACGTCCGCGTTCTCGTCCGCCGCCAGGGCCTTCTCGAACATCCCGAAGGGGACGGTGACCGACTGCGGCACCTGGTACGCGCCGTCCTTCGGGCGGCGGCGCCGCGCGCCAGCAGGAGAACGACCCGGGGACGTACCCAGCCCGTGCGCAACGAGTGGCAGAATCAACGGGCCCAGCCAGATCGAGTGGACGCGAGAGAGCGCAGGGCCAAGAGCGAGAGCCGGGAGGCAGGACTGGGCCGACGGGCGGGTCGGCAGGCAGACCGACGAGGGAGGAGCGCAAGAGGGCGGGGAGAGCACCGCGGCACGCACGGGAGGGGACGCGCACGGGCAGGGCGGCAGGGAAGGCCGGGGAGCTCAGGCCGGCCGCGGGGGGGGGCACGAGCACAAAGGACAGAGAGGCGACACGGGGAGGGGCGGGCGGCGAATTGTTCGCACGCAGACTCGCTCATTCTCAAGCCCGCTCGCATCAGGACTCACGCACAATTCATGCCCAGACTAGGAGGAGGAGGAGGAGGAGGAGGAGGAGGAAGAGGAGGAGGAGGAGAAGGAGGCGGAGGAGGAGGCGGAGGAGGAGGAGGAGGAGGAGGAGGAGGGCCTCTGAGCCTGGAGGGGGGGAGGGCGTGAGCGAGGCGGTGGGGCATCACCGGATCGGCAGGGACACCATGCTCAAGGCGTTGGGGAAAGCGAGACACGCGCCGGGCCGCGGCGCTGGCAGGCCCTCGGCGCGTCGGCGGGAGCAGTCGCCGTCGTCGCCGCCGCCGCCGCCGTTGCCGCCATCGCCGCCGCAGCCGCCGCCGTCGTCGCCGTCGTCGTCGAAGCCTTACGACCCGGAAGCAGGCCTGTGGAGGCGAGGGTGCATCGGCCCGACGGGGGCCCCTGCCCCCCCGACGCCAGACTGGAGTAGGGCGGGCTTTCGTCGCCGTCGTCGTCCTCCTCCTCCTCCTCCTCCTCCCTCCTCCTCCTCCTCCTCTCCCCTCCGTCTCCTTCCTCCGTCTCCTCGCCGTCTCCTCATCCATCTCCTCTCTCCTCTCCTCTCCCCCCCTCCTCCTCCTCCTCACCATCCTCCTCCTCCTCCTCCTCCTCCTCCTCCTCCTCCTCCTCATCCTGCTCCTCATCCTCCTCATCATCCCCGTCTCCTCCTCATCCCCCTGTCTCCTCCTCCTCCTCCTCCTCTTCCTCCCCCTCCTCCTCTTCCTCCTCCTCCTCCTCCTTCCGCTTCTTCTTATTATTATGTTTCGTAGTATTATTCGTAAGATTAGTATTAGTATTATTATTAGTATTAGTAGTACTATTAGTATCATGAGTATTGTTAGTATTATTAGTGTTATTATTATTAGTAGTAGTATTATTAGTATTATTATGATTACTACTACTATTATTAATTAGCAGTAATATTAATATTGTTAGTAGTATGAATTGTAATAAGATTGTTATTAGTATTACTACTATTAGTATTGTTATTGTTAGTATGAATAGTATTACTGGTATTGTTATTATCAATATTACTATTATTGTTAGTAGTAGTATTAGTATTGTTAATAATCACAATAATAGGTGTATTAGTTGTATTGTTGTTAGTCTTATTAGTAGTAGTGTTCTGGCTATGATTATTATGAGTAGTATTAGTATTAGTATTAACATCAGTATTAGTATTATTAGTACGAGTAGTAGTACCAGTATTACTAATATTAGTACTATTATTGATAGTACTAGTGTTATGATTAGTGTCATTATTAGCATGACCCGTACTAGTATTATTGGTGCATCATCATTATTAGTATCGTTATTATTCATAGTATTAGCAGTAGTAGTGCTATTATTATTAGTATGATTAGTATTCATATTATTCTTCTTATTAGTATGACTAACCTGCGTAGTATTATTCTTCGTGGTAGTCGTATTAGTAGTTGTTTTAGTCGCCTTACTAGTAGTATCATTAGTCGTATCATTGATAGTAGTCGTAATACTATTATTATTGTCATTGGTATTATTAGGATTACTATGAGTTGTCTTAATAGTATGCTTCCTCTTATTATTAGTAGTATTGAAAATATTATTCGTATTATTCGTATTATTGACATTACTACTAGAATGTGTATTAGTAGTAGTATTATTATTATGTTTAGGACTCGTACTAGTACTATCATTATGAATAGTATTATTAGTCTTCTTATTAGTATTGTCATTCGTCTTAGTATTCTTATCATTTGTCTTAGCCTTCTTTTTCTTATTAGTATTAGTCTTCTTATGATTAGTATTATTATTGTTCGTCTTCTTATTAGTATTATTATTATTATTCCTCCTCCTCCTCCTCCTCCTCCTCCTCCTCCTCCTCCTCCGCCTCCGCCTCCGCCTCCTCCTCCTCCTCCTCCTCCTCCTCCGCCTCCGCCTCCGCCTCCGCCTCCGCCTCCTCCTCCTCCTCCGCGACGCTCCGCGCCTCCTGCCCTTGCCCGCCCCTCCTCCCACCCGCAGGGTCCTTGGGAGCCAGCTCCGCGAGGTGCAGGCTCTTGCCGCCGAGGCACTTCCTCGCGAGCGGCGGGCACGTGCACACCCGAGCCCCTGCGGTCTGGGCGCCGAGGGCACGACCCCGCGGAGGCTGGAGGCCTGGAGAGGGGCACCACCACCGACACAGAGGGGATACCTTCACCAGGGGAAGATGACGCCAGATGTCGGTGTCGGGGGTGATAGTTCGGCCGCCCGGAAGCCCAGGTAGTACCACAATCGCCGAACTCGGGAGCGTCTTCCCTCGGTGGAGGCACATCGCCGATTGTGGTGTTTGTGTCAACCTCTAGGCCTCCGACAGGGCGCGATCCCATGGATACCTTCCGCGCGGGAAACCCGCGCAGAGCAGCCCTGCCAGAAGAGGAATGAACGGCATGAGTATAGCCTTTCGGAGCTCCGCGTGGATTTCTCAGATCGGCGCTAGACCCCGCGCGCGCATCCGAAAATGTATACGTGTGCCGCGTTCTCTTCTTGGACCTGGGGCCGTGGCCGAGAAGACCTGACCGCGAGGCCATGGATGCGAACGCGTTTCTCTCCCACGACGCGTCGGGCCGCATCAGCATGGAGTCGGGATCGAATAGGATCGGACGCGCCGGGATGCGCAGCAGCGCCGTACCAGCATCGGGCCGCATCGCGTCGTCGAAGCACAATCCCTGATATCCGCCGACATGATGTTTTCAATGCGCGGCCCTAGAGGTCCCGACCCCTTCGCTGGGGGAGTTTTTCGCCCTGGACCGATGTGAGAGGGCCCTGGAGCCCGATGACGGGCCCCAGAGGACGAAATCGAGGGAACAAAAACACCCGGGCTGAAACAACCGACAAAAAACGATCTCGTCGGAGATCTGGGGACCTATCGGATCGAAAGATACAGATACCGCTACTCCCCCGACCTCTCCCAGGGTGCGTTCTGGCCAGGATTTCGAGGCGATGCAGCCGCGGCGACGAGGGCCTCCCAGGAGGCCCCAGGCAGCTAAAACGAGGCAAGAGTGGCGGTAATGGTGAAGTCTCCTCCTCTGAGATCGGATCCATCGGATCGATCGGATCGAAGCGAACCCCTCCTGTGCTCTATGAACTTCTTCGACGGCAAGACCGCGGCGGGCGGCGGCGGCGGCTTCGCAACCTTTCGGAGACTCCGAAGGGTGCGGCTTGGAGAAAGCTTGGTTTACAACCCGCGCCAGCGGCAGGGCCAGGATAACGTCGGGCAGTTTCCCCTATAAGCGGACGTTGGGAGAGAAACAAAAAATCCAAACATGGTCAAACACAGTAAAAAAACATCGAACAAATCCCCCCACTATGTTTGACTATTTTTCCCGACATCCTGAAAGGGGTTCTTGTTTTCCCAGAACAACCTCTCCTTCTCCCTCCCGCCTCCCGCCTCCCATATCAATACCATTTCCACCCCTCCAGGGAGGCCCCGCCTGAGCGAGGAGGGTATCGGAAAACCATACTGTTTACATGGTTTCGTGCCCTTCCCACCTCTCCAGGGGGGCCCCGCCTCAGCGAGGAGGGTATCGGAAAACCATACTATTTACATGGTTTCGTGCCCTTCCCACCTCTCCAGGGAGGCCCCGCCTGAGCGAGAAGGGCATCAGAAAACTATACGATTTACATGTTTTCGTGCCCTTCCCACCTCTCCAGGGAGGCCCCGCCTCAGCGAGGAGGGTGTCGGAAAACCATACTATTTACATGGTTTCGCGCCCCTCCCACCTCTCCAGGGAGGCCCCTCCTGAGCGAGGAGGGTATCGGAAACCCATACTATTTACATGGTTTCGTGCCCCTCCCACCCCTCCAGGGGGGCCCCGTCTGAGCGAGGAGCGTATCGGAAACCCGTACTATTGATATGGTTTCGTGCCCCTCCCACCCCTCCAGGGAGGCCCCGCCTGAGCGAGGAGGGTATCGGAAACCCATACTATTTACATGGTTTCGTGTCCCTCCCACCCCTCCAGGAGGCCCCGCCTGAGCGAGGAGGGCCCGGAAACCATACTTTTACATGGTTTCGTGCCCCTCCCACCCCTCCAGGGAGGCCCCGTCTGAGCGAGGAGGGTATCGGAAACCCATACTATTTACATGGTTTCGTGCCCCTCCCACCCCTCCAGGGAGGCCCCGCCTGAGCGAGGAGGGTATCGGAAACCAACTATTTATATGGTTTCGTGCTGAGCCTGAGCGAGGAGGAAATCGGAAACCCATACTATTTACATGGTTTCGTGCCCGTTTTCCACCCCTCCAGGGAGGCACCGCCTGAACGAGGAGGGTATCGGAAACCCATACTATTTACATGGTTTCGTGCTCCTCCCACCCCTCCAGGGAGGCCCCGTCTGAGCGAGGAGGGTATCGGAAACCCATACCATTTACATGGTTTCGTGCCCTTCCCACCTCCCCAGGGAGGCCCCACCTCTCCAGCTTCTCTTCTTCGTGCTGATGTTGGCGTACCCCATGAGTCCGACGAGACCGTTCATATCTTTATGTTGGGAACTCCGTTAGCATAATTGAATATTCCTCCTCTAGAGGGAGGAGGAGGAGGAGGAGGAGGAGGAGGAGGAGGAGGAGGAGGAGGAGGAGGGAGGAGGGAGGAGGGAGGAGGTAGAGGGAGGAGGGAGGAGGGAGGAGGAGGGACGAGGGAGAAGGAGTAGAGAGGAGGAGGAGGAGGAGGAGGAGGAGGAGGAGGAGGAGGAGGAGGAGGAGAAGGAGGGGGAGGAGGAGGAGGAGGGTCGACAGCGGCCTCCGCCGCGCCCCGACGAGGGCTCCTCGAGCCCTTGGCGCAGCGTGGTGACCTCAAGCCCCGACGGCGCCGACCGCAAACCACACACCGGCGTACAGTTGACTCGGGCGTGTCCCTCCACAGGAGGAATATTCAAAAAACAAAATATGCTAACGGAGTTCCACACATAAAGATACTAACGGTTTCGTGGGACCCATGGGGTACGACAACATCAACACGAAGGAGAAGCTCGAAACCATGTAAATAGTATGGGTTTCCGATACCCTCCTCGCTCAGGCGGGGCCTCCCTGGAGAGGTGGGAGGGGCACGAAACCATGTAAATAGTATAGGTTTCCGGTACCCTCCTCGCTCAGGCGGGGCCTCCCTGGAGAGGTGGGAAGGGCACGAAACCATGTAAATAGTATGGGTTTCCGATACCCTCCTCGCTCAGGCGGGGCCCCCCTGGAGGTATGGAAGGGGCACGAAACCATGTAAATAGTACGGGTTTCCGATGCCCTCCTCGCTCAGGCGGGGCCTCCCTGGAGGGGGTGGGAGGGGCACGAACCAAGTAAATAGTATTGGTTTCCGATACCCTCCTCGCTCAGGCGGGGCCTCCCTGGAGGGGTGGGAGGGGCACGAAACCATGTAAATAGTATGGTTGTCCGATACTCCTCGCTCAGGCGGGGCCTCCCTGGAGAGGTGGGAGGGGCACGAAACCATGTAAATAGTATAGTTTTCCGATGCCCTTCTCGCTCAGGCGGGGCCTCCCTGGAGAGGTGGGAAGGGCACGAAACCATGTAAATAGTATGGGTTTCCGATACCCTCCTCGCTCAGGCGGGGCCTCCCTGGAGGGTGGGAGGGGCACGAAACCATGTAAATAGTATAGGTTTCCGATACCCTCCTCGCTCAGGCGGGGCCTCCCTGGAGGGGTGGGAGGGGCACGAAAGCATGTAAATAGTATGGGTTTCCGATACCCTCCTCGCTCAGGCGGGGCCTCCCTGGAGAGGTGGGAGGGGCACGCAACCATGCAAATAGTATGGGTTTCCGATACCCTCCTCGCTCAGGCGGGGCCTCCCTGGAGGGGTGGGAGGGGCACGAAACCATGTAAATAGTATGGGGTTCCGATACCCTCCTCGCTCAGGCGGAGCCCCCCTGGAGGGGTGGGAAGGGCACGAAACCATGTAAATAGTATGGGTTTCCGATACCCTCCTCGCTCAGGCGGGGCCTCCCTGGTATGGAATGGTAGGCATGGTATGATATGGGAGGCTGGAATGGTAGGCATGGTATTGATATGGGAGGCGGGAGGCGGGAGGGAGAAGGAGAGGATGTTATGGGAAAACAAGAACCTCACTCAGGATGTGGGGAACAAGAAAAATATTCGAGTGTGAATGAGCCTCAGTAGTACGAGCGCGTCTCTGCGCATGAGCCTGGGGCCTCCTGGGGCCTCCTGAAACCTACTGGGGCTTCCTGGGGCCTCCAGGAGCCTCTTGGGGCCTCCTGGGGCCTCCTGGGGCCTCCTGGGACCTCCCAGGGAGGCTTCGTGCCCCAGGAGAGGCCCAATCTATAGCAACCGACATACATAAAACATTGCGGATTGGAGCCACAGGAGAAGGGCAATCTATAGGAACACACGTACAACACCAAGGACTCGTGCCTCAGGAGAGGCCCAACCTAGAGGAACAGAAATAAAACATTTAGGAGCGTGTTCACAGGAGAAGGACAAATTATAGAAACATACGTAAAACGTCAAGGATTCGTGCTCCAGGTGAGGCCCAATCTATAGGAGCACACGTAAAACACATGGGATTGGAGCCACTCCTGCTGCCTTCCGAGGCCTCCTGCTCCTGGGGCCTCTCGGGGCCTCCTGTTGCCTTCCGAAGTCTCCTGGCGTTTCCTGTGGCCTCCTGGGGCCTCCTGTGGCTTCCTGAGGCCTCATGGAGCTTCCTGGGGCCTCCTGGAGCATCTTGGGACATCTTGTGGCCTCTTGAGTCTTTCTGTGGCCTCCTGATGCCTCCTGGGACCTCATGTGGTCCCCAGTGGCCTCCTGGAGCCTGTTGGAGCATCCTGTGGCACCCTGAGGAGAATGTGTGCCCACGAGTCTGGCCACCAAAACAAGCAAACCGAACGAGACATCCTCAAAATCTGGCACAGCTGGGGGGTGAAAATGAGCTCCTCGCTCGAGACATCCTCCAAATCTGCTCCGAAAGCGAAGGATGTTGGGCCAGAAAACAAGCAAACCGCTTGAGACATCCCCACAAAACGGCCGCGAACGGGACCGTGTCATACCCCCCGGCTCCCTTTAGGGGCGTGAAAATGAGCTCCTCGCTCGAGACATCCTCCAAATCTGCTCCGAAAGCGAAGGATGTTGGGCCAAAAAACAAGCAAACCGCTTGAGACATCCCCACAAAACGGCCGCGAACGGGACCGTGTCATACCCCTCGGCGGCTCCACTTAGGGGCGTGAAAATGAGCGCCCCGCTCGAGACATCCTCCAAATCTGCTCCGAAAGCGAAGGATGCTGGGTCAGAAAACAGGCAAACCACTTGAGACATCCCCACAAAACGGCCGCGAACGGGACCGTGTCATACCCCTCGGCGGCTCCCCTTAGGGGAGTTGAAACCAGCGCCGAGCCTGAGACATCCTCACAACCTGCTGTGTGTAGAGTAAGTCAGACAATGAGAAAGCCTGAGTATGAGTGAGTCTCAGCATGAGTAAGTCTGAGTATTAGGTCTGAGTATGAGTAGGTCTGAGTATGAGTAATACTGTGTGTGAGTAAGTCTGGGTATGAAGAAGTCTGAGTGTGAGTCAGTCTGTGTATGAGTAAGTCTGGGTATGAGGAGGAGACGGGAGGAGAAGGAGAAGGAGAAGAAGGAGTAGGAGGCGTCAGAATAATAACAAGAACCCCATCTTAGGATATGGGGAAATAGTCAGCGGGACGACTTTCTCTAGAATGTTTTGACTATGCTTGAGTATTGTGTGACAATTTCTCATTTTTCCTCCTAAATCCGCCTGTAGGAGGAGGACATGCCCGACCTAAGCGTACTGTGGAGGCTGGTCCACAAGAAACCTTACACAAGAAACCCAACCCTGAGACCCCAGGACGTCCGCTGATTTGTAGTGTGGGAGCGTCACGCTTCCCATAGCAAAACCATCGCAACCAAAGAAACCCAGGGCACCCCAGAGGCAAGTAAGGTGATTCTTGGCATGGGTCTCCACTGTAACTCGAAGAAGAAGAAACGCCATAAACATAAAACTCTTGGCGCTCCGCGCGGATTTCTTGGATCTGCGCCGGACCGCCCCTCTGGCGCGCGGAGCGCGCCAGGGCAGCGGCGTCGGAGGCGCCGCCGCGGGGGACCCAGCGCGGATCCACGAAATCCGCGCGGAGCGCCAAAAGCTGTGTTCATGGCGGTTTTTCTTCTTCGAGTGACCGCGCCTCCGTAGAGTAGTAGTCGTAGTAGTAGTAGTAGTAGTAGTAGTAGTAGTAGTAGTAGTAGTAGTAGTAGTAGTAGTAGTAGTAGTAGTAGTAGTAGTAGTAGTAGTAGTAGTAGTAGTAGTAGTAGTAGTAGTAGTAGTAGTAGTAGTAGTAGTAGTAGTAGTAGTAGTAGTAGTAGTAGTAGTAGTAGTAGTAGTAGTAGTAGTAGTAGTAGTAGTAGTAGTAGTAGTAGGTAGTAGTAGGTAGTAGTAGTAGTAGTAGTAGTAGTAGTAGTAGTAGTAGTAGTAGTAGTAGTAGTAGTAGTAGTAGTAGTAGTAGTAGTAGTAGTAGTAGTAGTAGTAGTAGTAGTAGTAGTAGTAGTAGTAGTAGTAGTAGTAGTAGTAGCAGTAGCAGTAGCAGTAGTAGTAGTAGCAGTAGCAGTAGTAGTAGCAGTAGCAGTAGCAGTAGTAGTAGTAGTAGCAGCAGCAGCAGCAGTAGTAGTAGTAGTAGTAGTAGCAGTAGCAGCAGTAGCAGTAGTAGTAGTAGTAGTAGTAGTAGTAGTAGTAGTAGTAGTAGTAGTAGTAATAGTAATAGTAGTAGTAGTCGTGGTAGTAGTAGTCGTGGTAGTAGTAGCCGCCGAACCTTCACTTGCACTGGCGCCTGCGCCTGCTGGGCCGCCTTGCCGCCCTGAGGGGGGGCGGCCAGAACAGCGGGCGCGCTCTCGGCGGCGCGCACAGGCGGGAAGGCAGATCCAGACATGGTCGCGTCCCTTGAGATCCTGGCGTCGTCGTCATCATCATCATCATCATCATCATCATCATCATCATCATCATCATCATCATCCTCATCCTCATCCTCATCCTCATCATCATCATCATCATCATCATCAACATCACCACCATCATCATCTCAATTTTGTCGAGCTGGGCACTTTCGCCGGGTTTCGGGCCCCGGGGCCTTCACGGATGGATCTGGCTCGGAAGATATACTTCTCAATATTGCAATTGTTTCGCTGCGTCGGATCTCAGGGTCGTGGATACATAACAAGTGTTTTGCTATGTGGGCTTCCCAAGGCCATTGGCGGGCCTCGGAACCGTCGAAAACGACTCAGGATGAAGAACCGATTCTGGGGAATAGGTCCAGACCTCTGCTGGGATGGGCGCAAGGGTTCCGAATGGGATAGGGGAGGTATCAGTGAATGCCAAGGTGGGAAATGTGGCCTAACCTAGCTCATACGTGGATTCCGAATGCCCCAAGGGGCCTAGAAAATTAGATAGCTCCCCCTGACCCCTGAGCCACTTGGGGCATTTGTAATCCACCTCTAAACCAGGTCGGGCCAGATATAACCCACCTTAGCATCGATTGATGACCCTCCTGCCCCTTTAGCAACCCCCGCGTCAATCCCAATGGTTTCCGAGCCGTAACTCGGGTCTCCGGCGACCGCTCGGGACGATCCGGGCACCCCTAGAACGCCCTCGACGAGGCGCAGCTGCGGGAAAGCATCCCGAGGCGAAAAACCCTCTGAGAACCCACGTAAGCCTTCAAAAACGTCGAACCACCTCGGCATCCACCGAGAACCCCTCCCCCCCCCTAAACGGCGGCGAGTTCCGAGCCCTACCCTCGCCGATGCACGCAGCCCGATCCCAATGGGGTCCACGCCATGAAAAAAAGCATGGCGCACGAGGGGCCCAGGAGGGCAGAAAAGGCGGGCCCTGTCCGAGGGCTCAGAGGGCCTGCAGCTGCCTCATGAGAGGCGTTCTGAGCCGTCTCTGGAGATCAGAGTAAGACGCGCCCAGGACGAGGAGAAATTCGGGTGAGGACACATCGAGAATCTCCGAGACCCGGCGGCTCTGGAAGATGGCTCGGGCGCCGCAGCCTTCTCAGAGCGTTCCGGAACGCTCTTGAACGGAATCTGTCCTTGTCCCCGCCCCGCCCGATGGAGGCCTCCCAGGTGGGGTCCGAGCAGATGGGGTCGGGAGGATCCAGCCGCATCGCCGAGACATCGGGGGCGTCGGCGATACATCGGCGACGTCGGCGTGGAGAACATCGGGCTCCGCATCGAGTTGCATCCCCAATGCGCCGGCGATGCGGCGCGATCCTCCGACTCCATCCACTCCGACCCCAGCAGAGGTCGGCCTGCAACAGAGGCAGCCTCTATAGGGCCAGCGTGCACACCGGGGTTCAGGACGGGCCCGGCCCGGAGACGGTGGATCTGCGTAGATCTCGCCGCCCGAGCCAAGCAACTCTCACAAGACCAGGGGGGGCCCCGCCGACTTTTACGAGGGCGAGGCGAGCTGGCGCTCGGGCACTCCGCAGGGACACCCCTCCCCCCCGCGGCGGGCGGGCCTCGACGTGTGCACCGCGCACAGATCTCCGACGATCGGACTTCTCCAATCCAGGCGCGCTCCTCCGATCTCCTCCTCCTCCTCCTCCTCCTCCTCCTCCTCCTCCTCCTCCTCCTCCTCCTCCTCCTCCTCCTCCTCCTCCTCCTCCTCCTCCGGGGCCCGCCATTGGGCTCCAAAGCCATCGGAGATCGCACCCCCAGGCGAAGGCCTGGCCTCGGGGCAGGCGTCCAGACCTCTAGAGGGCCGCGGACTGAAAAAATCAAAACAAAACAAAAACCTGAAGTAAAAACTAAACAAAAACAAAACCAAAAAAACTGCATAAAAACACCATATATATAAAAAAAAAAAAAAAAAAAAAAAAAAAAAAAAAAAAAAAAAAAACGGTTCGGCGAGCGTCAGGGTGGACAAACGCCCCGACCTTCTGTGGGGGATGCTGGAGCGGTCCATGCACCGGACTCGCTCGCCAGAGCGGGCGGGTCCCCAGCGACTTCTGGAACGGGGACCCCCAGACGTCTCTCTCCCTGACTACCTACCAGACCACCTCAACCCAACCCGAAGACCCGAATTTCGGGTTGGGGGGGGTACGGGTTCCATATGTGTTTTCTCGATGTTCCCCGACCCCCCCCCACTGGAAATGGAGGTCAATTTGAGGCCTTCGGGTTGGGTTGGGGTAGTTCGGTGGGTGGTGACTCCCTCTTGCCCCTGACGGGCTTTTCATCCTGAGCCGTCCTTGACGGCCCTGGGGCCTGGCGAGGGCCCTAAAAGGCCGAAGACAACGGGAAACGTCAGTCGTGGTTTTTCTCCAAATATGCTTGCCCTAGAAGAGTCCTAGCTCAAACCCTACCAATTGGTCCGTTGCCCTCCCCCCCTAATTCCTATGCCCCCCCAATTCCTATGGCTATGCCTATGCCTATGCCTCCCCCCAAACTCCTATGTTTCCAATGCTTGCTTGCTTGCGTGCTTGCTTGCGTGCTTGCTTGCTTGCTTGCTTGCTTGCTTGCTTGCTTGCTTGCTTGCTTGCTTGCTTGCTTGCTTGCTTGCGCGCTTGCGTGCTTGCTTGCGCGCTTGCACGCTTGCTTGCTTGCTTACTTGCATGCTTGCTTGCTTGCTTGCGCGCTTGCGTGCTTGCGAGTGTTTGCACGCTTGCTTGTTTGCTGAGTTGCAGATTCCAAGCATGCTTGATTTCTCTGATTCCTTCATTTGAGTCGTCTAATCTATTTGGAGTCAACGCTGGCTGATATTTGTTCACGACGCGATGGGGTCTGGGTTTGAGTACCATGTGGGACCTGCTCTAGAACAGGAGCATACCGTAGACGGATCGACCCTCTCTCCGAACTTGTGCTGCGCCGAACGCAACGGCCGCGTCAACTATGGACGCATCCACCCGGAATGCGCCTATATACGCAACGACGCCCAGTATATCTACAGACGCTTGTGGCCAGAAGGTGAGAACGGTATTTGGCACAGGCCCCTGAGATGGGCCTCCTAGAAGCAGGTGAACTTGGCCCTCCACGACGCGAGGGGGAACAACGAGTTGTCAATGCCGCCACTCCCCGGACCTCTCTCCCGGGGTGTGCACTTGCCAGAGTTTCTAGGCGAATCCAGCCGTGGCGACGAGGGCCTCCCAGGAGGCCCTGCATGGCGAAAGCGAAGCAAGGGCAGCGGGTAGCGGTATCGGCACCTCTTCCTCCTCTGATGTTTGGCTCACGACGCGAGGGGGTCTGGGTCCGTGGTCGACCAAGCGTGCACACATCGAGCCTCTCCGACACTAGGGCGAGAATGATGTCATGGTAAGATTGGCTTTGGAGACGTCCAGGATTTCCAGTGTCTCGCGGACCTCGTTCCTGCAGCCCTTGCAGAATATTCGGAAATCTGGGAAATCCCGGAAACCTTGAAGTACTGGAACTTACCATGACCCGCCCGTCGGAAGACGTGGATAGAAACATGAAGTCGGAAGGCGGATAAGTGGATTGGGTTCGGGCCCGCCCAAAGAAAAACAACCAACAGCAAAAACAGGTCGACTCCTGAGATAGGAAGCGCTCGGAAACTATTTGGACCTATACGACCACCCTTCGGGAGATAAGGAGGTTGTGGGGGGGGGGAGAGGGGGGGGAACCAACATCTGACTCAATCGATCTCACTATCGATCTCACTCAACAGGACTCCAAGGGACACCACGGGACACCACGGGACACCACGGGACACCACGGGACACTTGTCGATCTCACTATCGATTTCACTATCGATCTCATTCAACGGGACACCACGGGACACCACGGGACACCACGGGACACCGCGGGACACCTCTCGATCTCACTATCGGTCTCACTATCGATCTCACTATCGATCTCACTCAACGGGACACCATAGGACACCACGGAACACCATTGGACAGCACGGGACACCTCTGGACACCACATCGATCTCACTATCGATCTCACTATCGATCTCATTATCGATTTCACTCAACGGGACACCACAGGACACCACGGGACACCACGGGATACCTGTCGATCCCACTATCAATCACACTATCGATCTCACTTTTTGGGATACCACGGGACACCACGGGACACCTCGGGGCACCACATCGATCTCAGTATCGATCTCACTATCGATCTCACTATCGATCTTACTATCGATCTCACACAACGGGACACCACAGGACACCACGGGACACCACGGGACACCTGTCGATCTCACTATCGATCTCACTATCGATCTCACTTTTTAGGACACCACGGGACACCTGGGGGCACCACATCGATCTCAGTATCGATCTCACTATCGATCTCACTATCGATCTCACTCAACGGGACACCACAGGACACCACGGGACACCACGGGACACCACGGGACACCGCGGGACACCGCGAGCCACCGCCGGACGGGCGGACGGGGGAGAATTATTTGTCTCGACTTCGCCCTAGCAACGGCGGACACCACGGGACACCACGGGACACCACAGGACACCGCGGGACACCGCGAGCCACCGCCGGACGGGCGGGCGGAGGAAAATCATTTGTCTTGACTTCGCCCTAGCAACGGCGGGTTCATTCCTCTCGCGCGCCCACGCAACTTCGCCTTGCCCGCACGCGCGACACGAACGAAACGAAACGATTTTCCGGTTGGGGGTCTCCGTTCCTCTGCGATCTCACCCCCCAACCTCCGATCTGGATAACAAAAGTACACGCTTTCAACGACTGGCGCGGATCATGACCTCCTGCTTGAGGTCGGGCATGTCCCCCTACAGGCGGCTGTTGGACGGAAAAATAAGAATACTCAATCAAAACAAATACCCAACACAGTCAAAAAGTGCTCACAAAATCGTCCCCAGACGATGTCTTCGCTGTTTTTGAACTTTCCTCCTGTGGAGGGACACGCCCGACTGAAAATTCTTGCTCCCCGGAGATCGCCGAGGGCTCCGCGACTCCCGCCGTCCGCCCGACCCGCGCCTGCGGCGGCCACGAAGCTGCTCCAAATCTCCCTGGAGATCCCCGGGTCTGCCTTTATGAAGGGGCCCTGGGACACACAAACTAATACACACACACACAAATAACAGGATTCCCCGTATGTTTCCATATGTTCTGGGCTTTTGTCTCCCCCCCCTCTTCCCATGTGTTCCCATATCTTCCGGGGGAGCGACGATCAATTGTGTCTGTGTGTTTGTGTCCCCTCCTGACTTTAGGTCGGGCCTGTCCCCCTACAGGCGGCTTCTGGGCGAAACATTAAAACTACTCCGAAAAGACCCAAAAAATAATCAAAAGGAATACTCAAACAAATTGACTATTTCAAAATATTCCTCCTGTAAGAGGACGCGCTCGACTCAAGTCTACCTGGATCTCCCCAGACAGACCTGGATCTGCCTAAACATACCTGCACCGACCTCGACTCATCCGATTTGATCCCCCCTTGTGCAGTCCAAGACCCGGATAACGGGGCGCCCGAAGGGGCGTGGAAAGGCCTGGCGAAGAACTCTGGAAGGACCTGGAGGGAGCTTCCGAAGGACCCTCTGGAGTGCTTCTGGGCACGCGCATTGGGCAACGCTTAGACAATGCCTGCCGGAACACGCTGCAGGGTCAAGCGCAGGGCGCTGCGAGGCGCCCTGCCCGCCACCGACACGATCTCCCCGGCGACCTTGCGGCTCCGGCTTCGTATCCTGGGCATCGCTCGGACGTCCATTCCCTGTGCTTTGTCCAGTTTCGTGCGTGGTTTTTTGCCGAATGATCAAGGATGCTCCTCGATGGCCCTCGCCGAAGGAAAAATGCGCACGTCCGAGCGATGCCAAGTTGATCTAACCGCCCTCACTTAGCGCCGCGAGCTATCTGGGAACAAAAGTGCATCGGCGCAGGGTCGTCGAGCCCTTTGGGGTGAGGCACGCCCCCGCCCCGGCGGCGGCTTGTGCCCCGCGCGGCGGCTGGCCCGCGAGGGGGGGGGGGGGGCAACGATAGGGGGGGGACTGGCACACGGGGGGGGGGGGGGGAACACCGACCTCGAGTGGGCGGTGCATCGCCGATGGACCGGCGAGAGGCCTCCGATAGTGACTCCGCATCTTCCCGGGCAGGTGGGGGCGATCGGGCCCCTAGCAGCGATCAATGGGCAATTGGGGTCGGTGCATCCCCCCCTATTCTTAGGTAGGGCATCTCCCCCTACAGGCGCATTTCGAACGAAACAATTAAAATACTCCAACCATATTCAAACATGCTCAAAAAATACTCACGAAATCGTCCCCAGACGATTTCTTCACCATGTTTGAACATTCCTCCTGTAGAGGGACGGGCCCGACTCAACCCTATCAGCGATCAGTGGGCGATTGGGGGTCGATGCATCCCCCCTATGCCTGTCCCCGGAGGAGGAGGAGGACGACGACGACCAGGAGCAGGAGGAGGCGGAGGAGGAGGAGGAGGAGGAGAGGAGGAGGAGGAGGGAGGAGGAGGAGGGAGGAGGAGGAGGAGAGGAGGAGGAGGGAGGAGGAGGAGGGAGGAGGAGAGAGGAGGAGGAGGAGGAGGAGGAGGAGGAGAGGAGGGGCCTGCCGGCCTGCTCTCGGGCGGGGGGGCCGTCGACAGGGCGGCCCCCGGGCAGAAGAGCTGGTCTCTTCACACGTCCTCCTCCTCCCACTCTCCTCCTCCTCCTCCTCCTCCCTCCTCCTCCTCCTCCTCATCATCATCATCATCATCATCATCATCATCATCACCACCACCACACCATCATCATCATCATCATCATCATCAGCATCATCATCATCAGCATCATCATCAGCATCATCATCCCTCCCTCCCTCCCTCCCTCCCTCCCTCCCTCCCTCCCTCCC